GCAAAGCTGATCTCCCAGAAGAACATCAGTCCATGTACTGTCCTGCATTCATAGAATGGAGGGGGTGGCAGCATAGTGGTCTCAGTTAACACAGAAGAACATTTAGCATAATCCCAAAACATTTTTATGATTAAAACCAGCAAACTAGGAATAAAAGGGAACCTCCTCTTCCTCATGTAGAGGGCTTTTATGAAGACCTGCAGCACATACTCAGTGGTAAAAGACTAAAAGCTTCCTCTCTGAGACCAGGGACAAGACAAAGATGCCAGCTGCCACTCTGTTAAATACTGCAGTGAGTCCAGGGATGTAGCTCAGCAGCACAGCCCCTGCTGGCAAGTGCAGGGCCCTGAGTTTGCTTCCTGGTACAAAAAACCCTAAGTAGTACACTGAAAGTTCTAGACCTCCAGAAGTTGAATGATGTGGAAAAAGATTTAGATTTGAAGAAATAAAACTATCTCAAGTGTCACAGGATATGGTAGTTTCTATATGAGGAAAGTTAGAAGGAAGCCTCAAAAATAAATTCTATGAGGGCCGGCCAGATAGCTCTGTGGACTGCAGTGGCTGGGTTTGATCCCAGGCATGCTGTGACGGCCCCACCCCTGAGGCCCACTGAGACAGCAGTTGAGCCTGGGCGTGGTGGAGCATGCCTGTAATCCCGGTGCTTAGGAGGCTGAAAACAGGAGGATCACTGTGAGTCTGACCTGTGTAGTAAGACCCTGCAGACCTGTATACCCTGTACTAAATACATTAAAAAATAAATAAATTCTACATAATTTATCCTACATACTAAATTCATAAAAATCAAGTGTGTTCTAATGCACAAGCAATGAACAATTCAAAATAGAAATTAAGAAAACAGTTTTTTAAGAAAGAAAATAATTTCATTTCTGATAGAATTAAAAAAAAAAAAACCTGGGAACAAATGTAACAGAGTTGTTGAATGATTTGCATACAAAAAAACTACAGAACAGCTGGGTGCAATAGTGCACACCTGTGATCCCAGCAATGCAGGAAGCTGAGGCTAGAGAATCAGAAGTTTAAAGCCAGCTTGGGTAACTTACTGGGATCCTGTCTCTAAAATAAGCCATCAAGCAAATAAATAAGAGTTGAGGATGTGGTAAAATAATTGGTTAGCCTGCCTGAGGCCCTATGTGCAATCCTCACTACCACAAAAAACAAACAAACAAACAAATCTAAATGATTGCACCAATTAAACAAGAGCTAAGTAAATGGAAGGCATTTCATGTTCAGCTAAGAGACTTGATATTAAGCAGACTACACCACAGTGACCTGTGAGTTTGATGCAGGACATACAGAATTGCAGAAATGGAAAATATGAGCTTCAAATGCATGTGGAATTGCAAGGCCTAAATAGAAAAAAAAAAAAAAAAAAAAACTTGGAAGAATCCTATTCCCCAATTTCAGAATGTACTGTTGTGTAAAGTTAGAGTAATCAAAATTATATGCTACAGCTGAATGTGGTAGTACACACCTGTAATCCCAGCACTCAGGAGGCTGAGGCAGGAAGATTGCTGCAAGTTCAAGGCCAACCTGGGCTACATAGTGAGTTTGAGGCCAGCCTGAACTGTATACATAAAGACTTTCTATCCAAAAAAAAAAAAAAAAGGATACTGTGGTAAGTATAAGACTGCAGGTCAGTGGAGCAGAATTGAGAGTTCAAGAATAAAATTACATCTATGGCCAGTTGATTTTCAACAAGAATGTCAAGACTTCAGACAGTGAAAAGAATAGTCTTTTTAATAAATGGTGCTGGAATCATTGTTTTCCACATTCAAAAGAATAACCCTCCACCTCAACATTCTATAAAAAATGTTAACTCTCCTGTTGGGACACTGAGGCAAGGGAATTGTTTGAACTCAGGAGCTTGGGACCAGCATGGGCAACATAGAAAAATACCAGGGGGGGGGGGGGGAATCTCAAAATGGCTTCTGACTTAAACATAGCAGCTTTTTTTCTTTCTTTCTTTCTTTTTTTTTTTCTGGAACTGGGGATCGAAATCAGGCCCATGTGCTTGCCAGGCAAGCACTTATTCTACTGAGCCATCTCCCTGGCCCCTAAACATAACAACTAAACCAATAATACTCTAAGAAAATATGGGATAAATCTTCATAACCTTAGACTTGGCAAAGGATCTTAGAAAAAAACACACAGACAACAACATTCACAGACAAAGCATGTTTTATTTTTTTATATATTTGGTTGTTATAGGGTCTCATTATGCAGCTCGGACTCATGGTGATCCTCCTGCTTTCAACCTCCCCAGCACTGGGGTTACAGGTGTGCACCACTATGCCCCGGACTCTGGCCAGCTCAGTCCGCCCGGGGTCAGGCCAGCGTGGCATGTGGTTCTGGGCATTGAACTGCAGTCCCTGTGCTTGCCTAAGCAGGCACTTTAGTCCACAGAGCTATCTTCTTGGCCTAAAGCACCCTTCAATAAAATTGGAAACATTTGTGTGTCAAAACGGATCAAAAAATGGAGTAGACTGTTTGCCTGGAATGGGTGAGAGGCCCTGAGTTCAATTCTTAGCACTGGAAAAAAAAAATTAAATGGTGAACTGTGTTTTTTATTAGGGATGTGGTGCAGTGTAAAGTGTTTGTCTAGCATGTGCCAGGCCCTGAATTCAATCCCCACTACAGCAAGAAACAAAGCAGCAAAAACAAAGAGATACTTACAAAAAGTATGTCTGCCTATAATGCCAGCGCTTGGGAGGCTGACAACGGGAGAATCACTATGAGTCCAGTCTACACAGTGAGACCCTGTAGACCCTGTGCGTGCTCTCTCGCTCTCTCTCTCTCTCTCTCTCTCTCTCTCTCTCTCTCTCTCTCTCTCAAATATATATATATATTACCTTAGCACAAAAAAAGATAACCCAATTTGAACATGAACATAGCACTACATAAGTTAGTTCAAGGCCAGCTTGAACTACATTGCAAGACCTTGTCTCAAAAACAAACAAGAAGGGGCCAGGGAGATGGCTCAGTGGAATAAGCGCTTCGCTGGCAAGCACAAGGGCCTGAGTTCAATCCCTGGTTCCGCCAAAAAACAAAACATAGAATTGTGACCCAGCAGGTCTACTACTAGGTGTATACCACAAAAAAAATAAATAAAAGAGATAAAGGTCTGGGGAAGATAGCTCAATGGCATAAGTTCATGCCTGGCCAATTCAAGGTCTTGAGTTCAATTCCCAGTACCACCAAAAAAAAAAAACAAAAAACCCTATGGGCAGGTTTCTCAAAAATAAAAGAGAGGAAAAAAAATATGAAAATGGGTGTTCAAATAATAATTTCACTTATTGATAATAGCCAAAAAGAAGAAACAACTGAAACATCCACAAATGGACAAACAAAATGATATATACATAAGCAATGAAGTATTACTAAGCTGTAAAAACAAATGAAATACTAATGCTACAGTATGGATGAACTTCAAAAACATCCTAAATGAATGAAGCCCAACACAAAAAGTCACATTTGACATGATTTCATTTATGTGGAATATCCAGAATTTGGAAATCAGTAAATAGAGAAAAGGCAGATTGCTAGTTTCCAGGGCTGAGTAGTTGACTTAATGGATTTGGAATTTTTCTTGGGGAAAATGAAAATGTTTAGAACTGCATATGGGCAGCGCTTGCACAACACTGTGGGTGTATTAAATGCCACAGAATTAGATACTTTGAAATGGTTGTTTTGGGGCTGGTGAGATGGCTCAGTGGTCTAAAGCACCTACTTAGAACAAGCTTAGCAAAGCCCAGGGACCACTGCACCACATGCCAGCCAGCCCGCCCCCTGGTGGGCTGAGCTGGCCACACACACACACACACACACACACACACATAAATAAATTTAAAAAAAAAAAGAAATGGTTGTTTTATATTATTTGGGTTTATCTCAATGAAAAAAAATTATCATGCAAGTACTAAAAATAAGCAGGGAGCCTAGTGGCACACACCTGTAATCCCAGATGTCTAGGAGGCTGGGGTAGGGGAACTTCAAGTTTGAATCCAGTTTGGACAATTAAGGGGAGGGGGTGGCTGGGAACATAGCTCAATGGGAACGGCCCCTGGGTTCAATCCCCAGGACTGTTTTTTAAAAATGTGTTTAAAAATGTTTTAAATGATTATGTGGGCATTGATTGTTTTAGTCCCTGTTACTTTTTTAAAAATGAGTTTGAAAATTTTCATAATACAAAGTTTAAAACATTGAAAATGGTTTGAGGGGTTGGGGAGATAGCTTAGTAGAATAAGCGCTTGCCTGGCAAGCACAAGGTCCTGAGTTCAATCCTTGGCACTGAAAAAAAAAAAAAAAAAAACCAGAAAAGAAAATGGTTTGAGTGAAGGAGCCCTGGGATATACTACTTCTTAGCCTCTGAGTAAGAAGTTGGTTTCGAGGTATGCTGAGGTCCCATGACTCTCTGATTCTTCATACTCCTTTTGCTCTCCTGTTCTGCCTTCTATCGTGTAGCTCTCTTTGACTCCATGCGCAGCAACCAGGCCTCCGAAGGCCCGTTCTCCCCGCCCCGCGGTCTTCATTCACCCCCTTTGCAGCTCCAGCAGCGCTCTGAGAAGCCTCCATGGTGTAAGTAAACTTTCTGTACCTGCCACAACAAAGATCAAGAGAGATGGAGGGATTAGTGGATGAGGAACCTGTCACATGAAGAGAAAAAGATGAGGGCTGTAGACTAGGAGTGACTATTTGGGAAGCAGTCTCACCTTCTGTTCCCAAGATACAGGGAACTTGTTCTTATTGTCCTTCCCCTCTGCCCGTGGAGCTTCCGCGCGCGCGCTCTCTCTCTCTCTCTCTCACAGGAGAGCTCCTCAGAGGCGGTGCCCCAGAGCAAATATGGGGAGAAGAGGATAGAGATGTCCCTTTCCTCAGATCCCTTTTTGGTCTTGCTATAACTTTGATAAAGGTAATGAGGAGGTACCATAGATATACAGGAAAACTTGGAGCAGGAAGCTAGAATTTGCTCATTTTTCTTTCTTTGTCTTTTTGAGACAGGGTCTCAATATGCAGTATAGGGTGCCATTGAGCTCACTTTGCAGCCCAGTCTAGTCTCAGATCCACAATAATCATCCTGCGTTAGCTTCCCTAATGCTGGGATTACAGGCATGCGCCACCACGCCCAGTGAATTTGCTCATTTCTGTATGTCCCGTATCTCAAGTTATCGAAACTTATTGAATAATGTCACAGACATTCCTTTTGGTAACAGCGTGAGCAGTGGAGCCACAGGAAGTTCTTGGGG